ATTTGGAAGCAAAGTTAACTAACAAAGTTGATCAACTTGGATGTTATATTTGAGACAGCCACTTTCAAAGCCACACAACACGAGCCAATGTAAACCGACCACCCCGAGATTCAATCTGTGAGTTCACAAGCATTATCTCTACATAATGACGTATCATAGAGGTCGCTACGAGCTATATTCATCGAGGTATTTACATACAAAGTATGTTATATTTGCGTTTTTTTGCTACTTTGAGGACTCATCACTCATGCTGCAATGTTGCAATATCCATATTTCTAGCTTTGAACAATAGCCTGCAACTAAGTTTGCAATATCTACATTTATGACCCCGCTCGTAGACAACCCATCAAAGAGATATTCGATGTCAAAGTCATGTACTTTCTTAGTTAACTAACAAAGTTGATCATAAATTATGACTAACTTCAAGTCATATTTGAAGCAAGTTTTATTATTATGTTAATTGGTTTTTAAATTTTCAAACAATTCATTAAAATTACTGAGCAGTTTTGAGCTCAAGTCACTGCGCCATGCGTTTCCCGTTGTTGCGTCTCCTCGAAAGGCCAATCCAAAGTCCTCAGCCCCTAGTGTGTATATCAGGTAGGACAAGAGCTAGTGCGATCGGACTGCGTGATATGATGCCAATTCATTTGAGGTTCGCTGTTTTGGTCATTTCCCGCACCCTCCTGCTGTCTTTAATGTGCTGCTTCGTGGCTCAGAGAACGCCGATCAATGCAAGAACATGATAGCGTGTACAGCAGCATCGATACTACGTAATGAAGTATCATGGACTGAGTTACGATGCTTATTGCAGGATATAATCACACCCAAAGTAAGCTATATTTCAGTTTTTTGGCATGTTTGAGGTCACTTCATGCATGCTAAATAATTACAATCGCCACACATCACGTCTTATTCAGTAGCCCGCAACCATGCCTTCAGTTTTCATATTAAATGTATCAAGCCCAGACATGCCGTTGCTGAGGAATTCAACGACATAATAAGTACCAGTAACATCGAAATATAGCAGCAAGTTAACATCAATGTTTGTCATAACAGTGAATTATGACAAACATTGGTTACTTGAAAGATCGAAATATAGCATCAAGTTAACATCAATGTTTGTCATAAATTATGGCAAACATTAGTTAACATCAATGTTAACTTGATGCTATATTTCGAGATTACTAGTATCTTTTTAAATTATGACATACTTATTTTATATTAAAAATACGTAATGTATTCTCGTGGAATGTACTATTAATAGTAGTGGATACTTTTGCAAAGAGCATCGTAACTGTCAGCCAAAATTTGTAGTCCATACATACACATTTAGAACAGCGGAATCAAATACAAAGTCGCCTTGCACCAAAACTCGTCTCCTTCGTCTAGACATACGTTCATCCTCGTTTATGTCGCCGAGGATGGCTATGTTTGTCATTTCCCACAGCCTCCAGAATAGCCCATCTCAAAAGTGCGGTGGTTGTACAATACGGCGTCGGAACGATTAAATTGTTGCTACACAGGCGGACAATGACTTGGTCCAGTGACATAGGACTCAAAAGCAGCGCACTCGCTCGGGACAGATTTAGCGACATGAATATGTTGGCCTTGGAGGAATCTCTCCACGGCGCCAAACTTGAATTGAACGTCAAAGCTTTGACTTTAGCGTTAGTCGAGTTTCCCACCGCCAACGACATTTGTGCATTGTACAAATCGGTCAAGAACATTTGGACGCTCGACGTGTTGAAGTCGCAGTGTAGTCAGTCGTTCATGACACTGACTTGCATGTTGTACGCAAACCGGATGCCAAAACAAACGAAATTAACTGACAGTAAGTACACAAACATCAACATGTGCCAAGGCGCCTTGAAATTGAACGTACGCAATTGATGACCCTGACGTGAACTCTCCTTTGCTTGATTGAACGAGTTGTCGCCCCGGGTTGACAAGAAGCGAGGAAACAACGTCAACGGCGACTTTTCGATTTGCAACTGCAATGCAAAACGCTCCGTAACGTAGAAATGTACACTTACAGTGCGCGACAAAAAGGTAAGGACAGGCATCAAAATGAGCTATTTTTTAGCCAAAATTGGTCAGAAACAGCTGATCTTTGGATATAATGTACTCCTTGTCACGACAAATACATGGTACATTCTAGAACTTTCGAATTCGTGGTTGTCGGGAAGTTATCCTCAAACTCGTGTTTGTATGGTGCGACAAATATACGTGGACAATACAATACTCAAGACATGAAGTCAGTTTGCATCTTGATGGCCAAACGTAAGACGCTTACTGACCGTCAGGTCGGTGAGATCGTTGCTCGACGTGACCATGGGGAAACTTTCCGTGAAATTGTGCGCAACATCAACTGTTCAAAGTCTGCCGTTGCCAACGTCCTGCGTGACCCTGTCGCCTACGGTAAGGCGACCTCTACAGGCCATAAAGCAAAGCTGTCCGACCGAGCGAAGACCGCCGTCATCCGCGAAGCCCAGAAAGGCCAATGTAGCGCGTCTGAAATACGGCACAACCTGAACCTCGATGTCCATGTGCGCACTGTCCAACGCCTCCTGCACAAGTCCGACCACATCGAGCACATCTATCGCATTGCAACACCAGCCCTGACAGCCGCACATATTTAAGCAAGATTGCTCTGGGCTCAAGAAAACGTTACGTTTGGCGAAAAGTGGAAGTGTGTCGTTTTCTCTGACGAGAAAAAATTTAACCTTGACGGACCAGACGGATACAAAAAGTACTTGCACGACAAGCACCAGCGCAAGATCTGGCAACAAGGTGGCGACAACGTCAAGATTTGGGCTGCATTTGCGTGGCGTGGAAAGAGCGATGTCGTCTTCCTCGATGGGCGCCAGGACTCTGAGTGCTACATCTACACTATGTCTGAGTACATGCTGCCGTTTGCTTATTTACATTATGGAACTGACTTTGTCTTTCAACAGGACAATGCCAGTATTCATGGTTCACATGCAACGAAAGCAAAGCATGTAAAATGATGTCGATGTCTTGCCTTGGCCGGCATAATAAACTGGACTTGAATACGATAGAAAATGCTTGGGCACACCTTTCTTTCGCAAGGTATATGATAACGATCGACGCCAATTTAACAATCGGAGCGATCTAAAGCGTCAAATTTTTGCATCGTGGTCTGAAATGGAGCTACTTTGAAACGCTCATTGCGTCCATGACTTCTCGGTGTCTTGCAGTTCATGCATTTCATGGTGGTAAAATATAGTATTGAATGTATTTTATATCTTGAGTTTTGTATTGTCCATGTAATTTGTCGCACCATACAAACACGAGTTTGAGGATAACTTCCCGACAACCACGAATTCGAAAGTTCTAGATGTACCATGTATTTGTCGTGACAAGGAGTACATTATATCCAAAAATCAGCCGTTTCTGACCAATTTTGGCTAAAACGTCCTAAAAATAGCTCATTTTGATGCCTGTCCTTACCTTTTTGTCGCGCACTGTAACTAAAAGGTTATATAGTTTTGTGAAACCGGCAAAGTCTCACGAATACTGTAGTACTAGTACCACGTACTAATTTGCTACTTCGGACCGTCGATTACTGCGTCGATTTTGCTTCATCGATTCGTTTGGCAGCCTCAGTCCATTTTGACATCGGATTACCAATACAGTACTGTACTTACAGTTAAGACATACTAGTACTTCGTAGTACTTCGAAGTAAGATTTACGGAACAGCATTGAATATTAATACCAACCTTGGATACTATGGTTAATATAATATAATGTTGAATTAATGCGTGGATGAATTGGATGAAGTTGTGGGATGAAACCTAAAGTAGTGACCAAGCCATACGTTGGCCCCGAGCGCCCGGGAAGCCGTCTGCACAAGTACGGATCTAAGCTTCTCACTTCACCGAATGATCTATCTTTTCTTCTTGTCGGGCAGCGGCAGGTAGGCCGTAGGCCGTGCCGCACCCGGACATAGCCTGTATGCAATGACCTAGCATTATCCTAATTACTCTCAGCTCTACTAATTAGGATATGACCTAATATTAACTTGGATGACGTTGTGGGATGCTATTGGATCACGGATATTTGAATCCATATAAATAATTCGAAGTACTATGGTGCATTTCATCTAAAGACTACAAAAAAGTGACTTGTCTTTCGACAGCTATTCCAACTTTGTATTGATATTTTTTAGGAAAATAAGCCGTAATAACGATAGAACTGGACAAGCCTAACAGAAGTTACGGTTCAAATTTTCGATTCGTGAAAAATTGATCGAGTAATAGAATTTGAACCAACCAGCCTTTTTGTATGGAAATATATGCCAGCACAGTTTAACGTTTAACGTTTATAGTAAAACGTCTCCTCATGAGGATAGCCGCCGATCTGTAGTCTTTAGATGAAATGCACCATAACGTTACTAGTACTATCGAGGCAAGCAAATGGAACAATTCCCTCGCTGCAACAGTAGTACTGTTGTTACGTAATCATTTTTACCAAGAGTAATCATTTTTACTAAAAGCCCTGGACCCCTTGCGCTTACATACAATGCTATTCCCGGGGTTAAGCTGCATCACCAGTAGCGCTAACCACTGAGATGCACTTAACCCCTATTGTTAGCTGAAAAGAGTTGTTTTGAATTAAACTTGACTATTTGCCCAAAATAATTGGGTTTTGTATGCCAGGAGGCCCAAATGATTACGTAACAACCATATTACAGTTGTACTACTGTTGCAGCGAGGGACCGCAAGAGTTAATCCTAAAATATCCTAATTAAGGACTTTGCCGAATTTCACCTCAAGTTGATGTTGCCTTCCATTAGAGTTACACTTGCATTGGTTATTCAACAGTATTGAAATCCTAATTTAATGTCGTACAGTCCGATTTCGTACGTTCCAAGTAATGTACTTTATCTTAATTTATACATCATAAACCGTACAATGCCGTATATTCCCGTACGTACGGCAGTTGAAGTGCCCCCAAAAACATCCATCATACGATCCATCGATCATCACTTGAATAATCATCAACAAGTTGCCATGTTGACTAGTGTCCGTCTAGTTGCCGCCACCGCCGCCCTTTCGTCGGCCATAGCGTGTACCATCATGGCTGTGGGCAAAACAGTAAGCAATACCTCCATCATACAACGGATACACTACTTTATCTTATCGACGACTATATCTGTCGTAGGCATCGACGACTGGCTCGCCTATGGTGGTCCACAGCGCCGACTGCGGCAACTGCGACTTTCGCCTAGGCAAAGTGCCTCAAAAGACATTTTCTCCTGGCGCCATGCGCGATGTCGTTCGTTTTCGCCTTCAATATCCTCGCTACGGTACAATACCTGCATGGCCAAGTCACCCCCATATACAGTATTTCTAGGGAATTCACCTGATTCCTAGTTGGCGACGCCCGCGGCGATGTCTTCACCGAAGCCAACGTGGACAAGTCCATCTTCAACTGGACCACCACCCCTTCGATCGGTCAGATCCCGCAAGTCAATACCACGTTTGCCTACTTGGCCGGTCTGTACGGGATCATGAACGAACATCAAGTGTCCATCGGCGAGTCCACTTGCGGGGGTCGGCTGGTGTCCGCGCCCGTCTCCAACGGCGGCAAAGCGCTGTTCGACGTGTCCGAATTGACAAACGTGGCGCTGGAGCGCTCGACATCCGCTCGACAGGCCATTCAAATCATGGGCGAGATGGCCGAGCAGTACGGGTACTATGGTGCCGATTGGGAAGGACCGATGGCGGCGATGGAGGCGGGGGAGGCGCTGGCCGTGGCCGATGCGTCCGAGGCATGGCTGTTCCACATCCACCCGGACGACTCTGGCGCGTCCGCCGTGTGGGTGGCCCAGCGCGTACCCGACGGCCACATCGCCGCGATTGGCAACCAATTTGTGATCCGCCAAGTCAACCTCACGGATTCCGACAACTTTATGGGGTCCAAGAACCTGGTGGACGTGGCCATCCGCGCTAAACTGTACGACCCAGCGGAGGATGGCGCGTTCGACTTCACCAAGGCGTATGCCCACCCTATTGCGCCCGATCAGTACTATGCTACCCGAAGACAGTGGCGAGTGCTCATGCTGGCAAACCCGTCGCTCAATTTACCTGCTGAGACGGACGTGTACGGCTCCGACTACCCTGTCACAGCCACCGTACGTACTTGTGTTTAGGATTTGGTTGATGAAAGGTATCATATAACCGTAAGTGGTTCGTAGGTGGCAAGTCCCATCGATCCTGCGACGCTGTTGGCGTACCTTCGCGATCACTTTGAAGGCACCGAGTATGACATGACCAAAGGCCCTGCCGCTGGCCCATATGGCAACCCCGATCGTTATGGTAAGTCCTCTCTGCCTTCTAATTATCGCTACTCTTGTATATATATATTCGTATATCAATCATGGAGTAGTTTGGATTATTTTGATGCTGAATCGCCAAATCCATGGATCGATTCTTTGTGCTGAAGATTGTATGTAAACATTGTCGTGGTGTGGTGATTGTATTCACACAAATTTCAGTCACACACTAATTCAATGGTGGTTGATGGTTGGTTTCCTGCAACCTGATTGGCTCAATCGTTTTACCGATATGATATTCTTCGGTTCATTTATTAATATTATTTGGTTCGTGTCAATTCCTTCATACTCCATGTCGCCCCTGTGTGGCATAAACACACAGCAATGTCATCATTTTGTTTACTGAAGTAACTATGACCAATATATTGGTTGTATATGTTTTTCATGGCTTGTTATTGCCAAATCTATCGATTCTTTGTACTGAAATTTGTATGTAAAATAGTCTCCTGGGGTGATTGGTATCACACTAATTCAAGTCACACACCCTAATTTGACGTTGATGATGGTTTCCTGCAATCTGATATCGGGTCAATTCTCCTTTCGATGATTCATTCTGTACATGTATATATTTGGTTGTGTCGCTCCAGTATACAATATAAACACATAAACAATATAGACATCAACGGCAACGGCAACATGACCAAGGCCACGGTGCTCACTGGGCACTTTGAACGCGCGATTTCGATCTTCCGGTCCAGCTTTTCGTTTGTGACAGTCGCAAACCAAGCCAACTTGAACTTGGGCCACATCCTTTTCGGCCAGTACGGCCCGCATGCCACGTCATACGTTCCGATTTACACCAAGGTGCACCGTGTCCCGACGTTGTACTCTCGGGGGTCGCTTCACCGGTACGATTCGACGTCGAGTTTTTGGGCGTTTGCAGTCGTGGGCAACTGGGCGTCGCGGTTTTACATGTACACGCGGCCGATGGTGGAGAGTGTGCAGGTGCAGTTGGAGACAGCGTTGCTGGGAGCCAAGGCCAAGGCCGTGGCCGCCCATGTTGAGTTGCTTAGCAACGACGATGCCCAACTCCGACAGTTTCTCACCGACTCGAGCGATGCATTCGCAGCGACTACCCACACGGCGTTCGTCGAGCTCTTTGGACGCCTCGTCACGACCTTCCACGATGGATACCACATGCAAAATCTCACGGGTGCCAACACTATTGCCGCGGCTTCGTTGTTTTATCCTGAGTGGTGGCTCCATTCGGTGGGGTACTTCAAGCAGCAAACGCAGCTATCTCCACCTTCCAAGACACCAGACCACGGTCCTACTACTACTACTAGTACTACTACTAGTACTAGTGGAGATGCAGTGTGGTGGTGGTGCGTCGGCCTCATGGTGTTGGGAGCGAGTGCTGGCGTCGCCGTCGGGTTTGGAGTTGGCTTGCGACGGCGTGATGGGTATCACCAACTCAATTAGACACATGATGATATTGTCTGTAATACTCCATGGCAAATATTATTGTGGGGGGTACACTAGTATGTGTTATCATGTAGTAGTACTATAGTAGTACTAGTAGGTAGGTTGGGTATGCCATGCATAGCGTGTGGGGGGGGTGAAGTGTTCACATGGACCATGCTACAGTATTACAAAAGAGATGCCACAACGGTACTAGTATGTACTAAAGTAGAATACCAGTCAGTAATCGTTTGATACCAAATAATTTTTTAAATTGGATAATTCATCAGGAATTTTAAAAAAATCTAAAATATTGTGAATAATAATTTTAAAAAAACATTATCTAATTTAATATTGTGTGGTTTGTCATTGGCAGGCTGTATTACAGTAGGTAACTATGGGGAAAAAGAATTGATGAAGACAAAGGAATGGACAATTTGCATCATACGTACACTAATTACTAAAATTGCAATTATATTTACTCCGAGTATTTGAATATTTCAAACGAGTGATCGAACTATCTATCACACGATCCAAATGTTATTGTAAATTGCGTCCAATACTGACTGCTGCTACTTACGTTATAGTAATTTATTGTGATCTCCTCCCCCATCCGCAATAGTACAATTATTGATTGTTGTGCGGACTATGAGCCATGCAATATAACGTTACTACATATTAATATTTGTTGACGGCATCAATTTGGAATAAATATGTATTTTTCCATTCCCTGATGAATACTACTTCGAAGTGCTGCATACATATGGTGCAAGTCATCTATAAACTACCAACTTTTCACAAAATTTTCTGATTTCAATTTCATATTCATTATTCAAAATTAAAGCAAATTGAGACGTAGAATCGACAGATCTCAATGTGGTGAAGAAATTCTACGTCTCAGATTCAAATTTGGTAATGAATTGGTCCAGAAATAAATATTTACCTAGCTGTATTTTACATGGGAGCTTGGATATTTGGCCATAGGGTGTGGCCGCTGAGATGTATCTTGATTTTTGTATGTGACTATTATCCGTATATAGTATCCGGAGGCACTTGAGGCCTTTAACCTCCCACTGCAATGATAAAACGCATGTGAAATCGGTATTTAACGCATTTGGGTTGTGGGTTTAACTTCATTAATTGTACGTTAAATAATAAAACCTCCACTCTTCGATTTGGCCAGTTGGAAGTTTTTATATGACGTGCAAGTACTGTACGTTGTAATTCCCTTAACAGTTCCACTGTTGTTTTGACCCGACATATATACTACTGTTTGACAGTGTATGCGGGAATTAATACATCCGGATACACCTTTTCGCCCGTAGCTCCTGGGACGACTCCGTCCAACCCCTGGTGAGTACACACGATGCTAAATCTCTGGGGTTCACTGCATCGCTAGTGGTTAGTGGTTAGCTATCGCAAACCACTGAGATGCACTTAACCCCTAGTAAGAGGTGAGGTGGCCCGAGCATACAAAATTCTATACAAATAATGTTACTCTTTATGCAGTGGGTATGAGATCATATCATCAATGCATGACGATTGAGGTTGACGGCAATACTAAGTGTTGAATGAAAGTAAGTCCAAGTGGCCAGATCTGTTGACACGAGGCGACGTAGTATGTAGTGGATTGAGAACTTGATGTTAGAACATGTTAGAACGGTAGAACAGTCGTGTTGACTGCGATAGGAACTCACTGGCTATTATAGCCTGGCAATGTGTCTTTGGGCCCGAAGTTGCAAGAGTCCTTGTCGATCGAGTCGACGTGAAGAGACAGCTGACCTACAACGCAGCACGAGAAGATGCAGCTGCACACGACATCTTCGCACGCGGACCCAGGGATTTGAAAGCGCTCCCGGACATTCTTGCGTATCACGGAGATGGCAAGAAGCGCGACTACGGTCACCGCCCACATGCCAAACACAAACAGCTTGCTCACGGTGGATTCCAGCAGCGCCAACGCAACGTACGCGCCGAAGAGTACCATGAATGCGGTGAGGACGGTCCAATACTTGTACATGCCAACGCGGTGGGCGATTTGTGCCAGGGACACACAAGGACAGAACGTTGCCATGCAACACACCGACAGCGACCCGGCGTTGATGCAGCCGAGGATTCCCGTGCTCCACGTCCCCATGACGAGGTTATTTTGGTCGATCTCTGTGACGAAGTAAGCGCCCTTGATGTCTGCGCCTCCTTCTGCCGCCATTGTTGTCTGTTAGTCGTTGTCAACAAGAATGGGAAAATGGGGCAAGTCATCAACTTCGTAGAGTTCAAACGAAGTTCGAAGACAAACGTTGTCGGCTGGTGGGAAAATTTGGTGGCAAAGGAAGTTGGGTGTGCTTTCCTTATACCGTTACAACCATGATTGGGGATATAAAGGAAGGGATAACGTTAGAAGGGTGCTTCGAGACACTCAAGGGGAGGCTGTAGCGCTGTAAACGTCGTTGGCTCAAGCTTGTTCACCTAATGTTATGCGAAGAATCATCGGGTTAGGGTCCATCTGGTAACTTTTCGAAAATATTATTCCATTTTTGGCAAAATGGGATAAACCAAAAATACCATTTCAAAATGGAGGTAAAAAGTTCATTTTGTAAGGGGCTGGTCTGCGAACATTCCCGTAGGGACGCCTGAGTTGACAGTGAAGCACGGACGATTCATCCCTGTTTTTGAGTGTCCGTTCCTGCTTTGGCACGTTTTCGATAGAAATTAAGCAATATTTTTGATATATTTTCAAAATCCTCGAAAATAGTTCGGACAAGCTTGGACGGTTTTTCACAGACCCGGTAAGCACACACACACTCCTTGAGACTAGCCGCTTACTATTATAGTAGTGGCTGGTCTCAAGGAGTAAATACCACTTGGAATTATTGGATTTCGGTTAAGGGAGCGTCTGGTAACATATTCTTGCAAAATGGGATAACCAAAATGCCATTTTCAAAATGGAGGTAAAAGGTCCATTTTGTAATCTGGCGTTTTGGACCTATTCAACGAGCAAATCCCACGCGGAATTTTTGGATTGGGGTTAAAAGGCTTCAAGCAAGGCACGTTTCAATTTTGATCAGATTTGTTGAATTCAAATTACAATATTTCCGTTTACGAGACGCACCCTAAGGGTGCGTCTGGTAAAGCTCTTCAAGCAAGACATGTTTCAATTATGATCAGATTAACTGTAAGGCCCGTAAATTTTCTTTTGAATTCGGTCCTAAAATGGCGTTTTGGGCCAGAATGTAGACGGGCCCTTACTGTTACTGTAATAATGGAAATTTCCTGTACGCCTTCGAACTTCGAGGACACGCCATTACAGGTGTCTTGAAGTTTATATGGATTTCGTGACAGTGGCCTTTCGGGCCGAATCTTCTTGCCTATCAAAACAAACTTTTCACGAGGGGGCAAGTTCGTGTGTGTACTCTTTCATTCGGAGATTGTGCTCGTGTTGATGAGAGAATTGAGTGCACCACACATACTCCTTTATGGAACTCTTTGATCGGAGCAAGGAAGTAGAGAGGATCATTCACTTAGTCATTGATACACTCGCATTGAATGGAAGCTCGGGCCAGAAGACCCCCACTGTCGAAAGAAGGACAGCATCATATCGCCGATGGGATGGTACGTTGGGTTGAGATGGAAGGTGAATGGATGATGACTCGATGTCGTTCGAGAGAAGATGACATTCCTTGTACAGTACTGTACTGACCATGTACTAGTTCTATGTTATCTCCAAATCAAAATACTGAACATATCTCCTGTTGTTTCAATCACTGTAGAAATCAATAAATGAAAATTATTCGATTTCTTGTCGAAAAAAAACCTTTTTTCAGCAATGAATCGAAAACTCGAACGGGAACTTCTGGAGAGGAAGTACAGTACGAATTCGACTTGGCCGGATCGTTCGTACATACAGGCGGCACCACGGTGACCTGTCAAGGTATACACGTACTCGAACCTACAACATCCATTGCGCTATCACCCCCTTGCATTAGACGCTACTACTGTACGATCGCTTATCCGAAAGTGGCGTTCCAACAGCTCTAGCACTACTACTATCAAACTGACTGCGATGTTGGTACCGTTCACCAAGTTCAACGGCGCCGGCAATGACTTTGTCTTGATCGACAATCGCAGCCTCGGCCTTCACCTGACGTCGGCCCAGGCAATCCGACTCTGCGATCGGCAGCTCGGTATAGGCGCCGACGGGCTCCTGCTTGTGGTCCCATGCCCGTCTGGGAACGCCGACGTTGCGTGGGAGTTTTGGCAGTGCGACGGCGACACGGCCAGCTTTTGCGGTAATGGCTCTCGGTGCTTTGTTCGATTTGTGCAATCTCTGCTTGGCCACACGAACCCCGTCACATTTGAGACCGGGGCTGGCATTGTCTCTGGAGCCTTAGTGGCCACCACCAGTGACATTGCCGTCCTGCTGCCGCCGCCCACGGCCTTGAGCTTGCATGCGACAGTGCATTTGGCCTCTGGCCCTCATGTCGTGCATTCCATCAACACGGGGGTAACAAAGAAACTTCGTCTCCATGTCCTAACAACGGTGGCTAGGTGCCCCACGCGGTGCTGTTTGTGGAGGACGTGGCCGCCATCGATGTACGTAGCCTAGGCAGTGAAGTGCGACACCACAAGCACTTTAGCCCACATGGCGCCAACGCCAATTTCGTCCAAGTCCTGGGACCTAATCACCTCCGTGTTCGCACGTTTGAGCGGGGGGTCGAAGGAGAAACGCTGGCTTGCGGCTCGGGCGTGGCGGCGGCCGCCCTTGTAGCTGCGATAGTTCACGGCTTTACATCGCCTGTGAAAATTGACGTGCAAAGTGGAGCCACGTTGGGCATCCAGTTTGCCACGCCGACGTCGTCGCAGGACCAATCGTTTACGAATGTGCTCCTCATTGGACCAGCAGAAGCCACGTTCTCGGGTACGGTGGAGCTTTAGTTCCTAGGAGTTTAGCGCATGTACTGTAATGTACAATGTGTGCATAGTGCACCAGAGAGGTGTACGTCACCTCTCAGGTGCACTATACCGGTAATCTTGAAAATGTCAGTCAGGAAAGCCTGATCCAACTGGAGCCGATTAATTGACCGCTCACAGGAGGGTGCATTCAATTCTGATTGGTTATAATTCAATAGATCATATGTTTTGCCTCAATACAAACATCAAGTTAAAGTACTTCGTCGTTGAACAGGCCTTGTCTGGGTAGCGGCACGACCTACGGCCTACCTGCCGCTTTTCCCGACGAGAGGAATCGATTGGACGTTCGGTGAAGTGCACAATTGGGGCTCACTCCTCGCCAAGGCACCGCCTGCACAAAATTATACACACGACCTCCGCTACGCTGCAGTGCGCGCAATTTTGTGGGCGGATGCTCTGTCGTCGCTCGCTACTATAAGGCTTGGTCAATGTGGAAAAAGAAAAGAAAAATATAGTATTAGGGAGATTTCGGAAATGACTTCTCCTTTTCTTTTTCCGTAAAAATTGAAAGCAAAGTAAAAGCGAGGAATTTTATAACGTAGAAAACCAATTTAAGGTGCTCGAACCATTTAATGGTGCACTTGAATCAGCCAATCAAATGTAGTCAAAATACTGGGAGATAACCTCCTTAATCTAATTAATACACGAAGTGAATTTTGGCGCCTGTCATGCACGACCGCGACCGCGATCGCGATATACACGCGTCGAGCTTGACAGAGCTGTTCAAGATGTGCTTGATGGGTGAAACGGGAAGCCAGTGGCAGCGTTCTCCAAGATACCCTACAACACCCTCATGAAGTATGTGTACGCGACAAAGGCCGGCACCACCATGACACCAAAGCGCGGGCCACGGCCCAGTGCTGACCATAAAATAATTTTCCCGTGAATATATTCATTTTTCGTCTAAAAATAAATTATTCTTTTGTCACGGCGGAGAGAATGAATAACCTATTTTTGGAGCAATCAAAAATAGGTTATTCGAACTTCTAGAGGTAAAAAATAAATATTCGTTGTGACAGGAATAATTCGTGGTTATCACGACACCTGGCTTCAAAACCACTCGTAGATATGGATGGTTATCAGCCATTAACCCAAAAGTGAAATCAAATTATCGTCATATCTCGTTTTGATGAACATCGCCAGCAACAACATCCTACGCGGCCGCCAGCTCGCTGAGCTTTTCTTTACTCGGAATGCTCCTGGCAATACGGACTGGACATGCCGGTGTGGCGCACGACGTTCACAGAAGGGGAGTGGGTACACCAACCTCGTCTCGCATATCACCGCCGACCACCCCAGATATGTTGCATTTGATGCAACCAACCCTCCTAAGGCATCAGCTCTATTTGAGATCATGGTCCCACGACATGTGCGTACAGTGTTTGGTTGGTTGTATTGGATTACATTGTGTTTGCTACCGTTCTCGTTTGTGTCAAATCCAACCGTCCGCCGCTTCGCCAACTTGGACTCGATCTCTCGAACTTCGTTCATGAAGTACATGCACGGACTAAGTGCTCACGTCGAAAAGAAGGTAGCTCTTCTACTACCTGAGAAGTTCGCCCTTGTGTTCGATGGTTGGTCGTGTGGCTCAACCCATTACCTTGCTCTGTTTGCGTCCTACCCGTCCAGCGATGTAATTGGCTACTCTCGAGTACTACTGTCTTTTGCACCAATCAACGAGGAGGAATCTCTAAATGCGGCTGCCCACGAGGAGTTTACTGAGTTTGTCCAGGATTTGTATGGGAAGTCCTGGAGCAATGTCATCGCACTTATCGGAGATAACTGCTCCACCAATGTGGCTTTTGCACGACTCACCGGGGTGCCTTTTATTGGATGCGCCAGCCACCGGTTTAACCTCTTTGTGTCCGATATGCTCACCAACCACTCGACTGTTATTGACAAAGTCAACGCTCTTATGACCAAGCTTCGTTTTACCCTACCGGCCGCTCGTCTGCGTCGTGTGACCCCCCTACGTGCGATTACACTAAGTGCGACACGCTGGAGTTCGACGTTCAACATGTTGAAACGGTATATCGAGCTTAAGCCATTTCTATTGACTATTGCTGACGACAGTATCGACGTGCTACGACTT